CATCTGACCAGAGCACCTTCTTCCACATGTTTGGGGTGTCTCCCAGGTGGCTTGTGGCAAACTTTAGACGAGACTTTTTATGGATATCTTTGAGAAATGGCTTTCTTCTTGCCACTCTTCCATAAAGGCCAGATTTGTGCAGTGTAAGACTGATTGTTGTCCTATGGACAGACTCTCCCACCTCAGCTGTAGTTCTCTGCAGTTCATCCAGAGTGATCATGGGCCTCTTGGCTGCATCTCTGATCAGTCTTCTCCTTGTCTGAGCTGAAAGTTTAGAGGGACGGCCAGGTCTTGGTAGATTTGCAGTGGTCTGATACTCCTTCCATTTCAAGATGATCGCTTGCACAGTGCTCCTTGGGATGTTTGAAGCTTGGGAAATCTTTTTGTATCCAAATCCGGCTTTAAACTTCTCCACAACAGTATTATGGACCTGCCTGGTGTGTTCCTTGGTCTTCATGATGCTCTCTGCGCTTTCAACAGAACCTTGAGACTATCACAGAGCAGGTGCATTTATACAGAGACTTGATTACACACAGGTGGATTCTATTTATCACCATCAGTCATTTAGGACAACATTGGATCATTCAGAGATCCTCGCTGAACTTCTGGAGTGAGTTTGCTGCACTGAAAGTAAAGGGGCCGAATAATTTTGCACGCCCCACTTTTCATTTTTTTATTAGTTAAAAAAGTTTCAAAAATCCAATAGATTTCGTTCCACTTCACAATTGTGTCCCACTTGTTGGTGATTCTTCACATAAAATAAAAAATTTATATCTTTATGTTTGAAGCCTGAAATGTGGCAAAAGGTTGAAAAGTTCAAGGGGGCCGAATACTTTCGCAAGGCACTGTATGTTGGAAAGTAACCTTTTGCCACAACATGTATGCTATATGGTATTCCAAAATGGTTCTGCAAAGTAACCTCTTGCCAGAACACCAAATGTTTATCCTACTTACTTCGATGAGCAAATATATATTTGAAGAAGCCTGACGTATACAAGAGGAGTATTAAAATCCCTACGCAGGAGAACAAAAGTCCTACATAGGAGTTTAAAAAGTCTTAATTAGGAGAAAAAAAGTCCTGTACAAGTTTTTTTTTCCCCCACATGGCACCAGGGTGCTGCTGTACAAAGCTAATAATCTTGGTGTAAGATTGTTTAAATAAAAGCATGTTATGTTGTTATACTGAAAAGCATAGCTCACAAACCTTTTGTTGAGATGAGCCACCATAGTTTACATTAACCTGTAAGATCACAGTCAAAAAAAAAACATACCTGCACCCAGTATGCTTCTTTGTTGCATAAAGAAGCTGAAAGAGCAATAATTAATTTTCTGCCACATCCCACTACTTTTACTGTTATATTTGTAGATAATCCTGTTTTTCACATTTAAACTATGTGTTAAATCTGCATATGTGCATTTACGCCAAAAACACTGAGTTCAGGCAGTGTACATTTAGTCACCAGATGTCATGATTTAGTCATAGTTTTAGTCAACTAGATTAAGTTCAAGTTCACGCTTATTTGTCATTCCAGCCATATACAAGTATACAGTGGAATGAAGTATCATTCTTCCTGGTCCACGGTGCAAATACAGACAGGACAGAAAGGACACTGAAGACAGGACACACATAGTGCATAGTGCAGATAGTGCAAAAAACAAGGCAAAACATAATACAATATACACAACACACTGGGGGGATTTAAACCCTGTTTCTGAAATTGGGTTGGGTGCAAGTAGATTCGAGGGTGTTGAGGAGCCTGACCGCCTGCGGGCTGTTACAGAAGCTGTTACAGGGTCTGGTGGAGCTAGCCCGTTCACTGCAATTTCTTTTCCCAGATGGTAGGAGGGAACATGACCCCTCCCATAAGAGTTTATGGGAGGGGTCATGTACTATACTAGAGACCCTGTGTAAGGGCCCTTGTGGTAAGGCCCTTAAAGTGTCTATTATAGTCATAGTCACTTTCTAGTCACCCACTTTTAATTTAGCGTAGTCAACTAAATTTGGACTATAATTAGTCTTAGTCAACTAAAACAGAATTGGCTTCAGTCACATTTTAGTCAAGCAGTTTAACTTATTTGGATTATAAAACGGATAAAGGTATTATAACATTTTAATATTTAACAATTAATATTTCAAAGAAAATATTTAACACATCTGATAAGATTCTGTCAAAAAGCACAAGTCTTTTTTGCTCAATCTATATTGTATTAATCCCCAGAAAGGTCAAATATCCAATACATGAAATAACTGCAATAAAGGGTTAATAATAAATAATCTTATACAGAAACATCTTATGAATCCTTCCTTATAAGAAACTTTTGTTACTGTAAATAATAATTCTTTACTTTTATAAGGTTTTTAGTAAAGTTATTTTAAGTAAAGATACTTGCCATTCTCACAGTAACCCACATTAGTAACCCTGAGGCACAGCACAGTCCATATACAGTGCCCACCAGAATTATTGGCACCCTTGGTAAAGATGAGCAAAAAAAAAAAAAGGCTATGGAAAAAATGGCTTTGTTGTTTATCAGCTTGATCTTGCACTGAAAATATGAGAGAACCTTTCAGTAGGTAAAATTATTCAAAGAAAAAAAATCCTTTTAAAAAAATAAACATTTTTCTAAAAAACACTTGTCACAATGTATTGTCGTCGCTAATTGTCTTTAAGTCTTTAGAAATATTGCCTGCCATCTAGATTCTGATACGGATTAGCACTGTTCTTGCCTTTATCAAGATGCCATTACCAGCACCACTGTTTTGCAAGTAATCGTTAATATTATAATGCATAAATGTTTGAGCGGCGCATACTTTTCAGTACCTCAACGACAAAGCTAAATATTATCTAAATAAATTGCAGACGTGTGTGAGCTGCAATGCAACTTAATGTACAGTACACGATCAACAAAGCTATTCAAATTCAAACATTTTATTTTGACCTCTGTTTTGTTTTTTTACTGTACACTGATTTACTTTTAAATACATTACAATACAGTGTGCTTTTAAAGCCACAACAATATCTCAAAATTTAAAGCACAACAAGCTAGGCGTAAATAAAGAAAACAAAAGAAGAAAACAATATTAGATTATAATTATCAAATTTATATATAGTGGCTTTACAATTATATAAAAGAAAATATACGCATAACAACCTCAATTGGGATTTTTGTTTAAGAGCATCCCCAAATTCCCTTACTCTTTCTGAGCATCCTGGAGATTGTCTGTCAAATGATAGGAGGGACTGGTTTTCCTAAGGCAGTATTCACATGTTTGCTAACTGTACACTACGGAGGTTATTCATGTTATTACTTAACTTATTTTTATATATTTTTAAAATTCTACAAATATTTTATATTTAACATACATAAAATATAAACATAAAATTAAAATTAAAAACAAATACCAATATAGTGTACATATTATTTATTATATTTTATTATTAGAGAAATAGTCTTCTTCTTAAGCTCAAGGTGCAATTTGTTAAGGTACAACTTGCACATTAGCTAGGAATTGAACCCCAGCCTCCCCCATAACCGGCAAGAATTCTGCCACTGAACCACCTATGCATCACTATGGACGGGCTAAATTAAAATCTGCATGCTTGTATTTCAGGGGCAGTTAGTTGCCGGTTTCGCAGACTTAATGAAAATATTCTCTGATTCTGAAGTCACCTTTGGCCCTTATGACTGCCACTTTCTTCATATCATTTGCTAGTCTTGGCCACAGCAGTTACTGAAACTTGCAAAGTTCTTGCAATTTGTCTTAAAAAACGACCTTCATTTCTTTTCATTTTCCTATCTTAACTGAGCAAATTTGGCCATGTTCATTCAGGATTTACAAACTTTTACCCATGCTCACTATTTTTATAGTCATCGTGGCCCCTCACCCATTTACCAATTATTGGTGACAAAAGGTAAATGAGGTAACATGCTAGTTAAATGTGAGAGCATCTAACAAAGACAATTTTAAACTTCTTTTAATGTTTTAACACCATGTTATACATATTTCTGACTTTTAACTAACCTGGGCTTCAGACTGAAATCTGCTTGGTTTGGGTGTTAATTTTATTGAAAACTGAAAAATTAACATTTTCAATGTTCACTTAAGATTATAAGTACATATATCATGTAATTAAATAATAAGTGTTTATAGACACATTCATACAGTTTAAAGCACAGATAATCATGATTTCAAGGAGGTGTATTCAAACTTTTGACTGGTAGTGTTTATATTTATATTAATAAATTACATTTGGAAACACCGTTATACTGTGGTTACTTTTATTTTCAGGCACCAAAATGTCCTTTATGTATGTGATTCCATATTAAGTGGATTTAAAGAACTGGTACAACAGATAAAATGAAGCTACCATTTTAATAAAATCTAAAACACCACAAGTGCTGCCTTTTGATCTTCTATGGGCAGTGAAAGCTAAATTTGGCAAGCCGAATCATACCATGGTACAACACACCTAGCTTAGTGCATGAGTTTTGTGTACATTTTGAATAACTGCATATATATGTTGTTGTCCACTTTTTAATGTAAGCTAGTTCTATAATGCTAGTCTAAAAACAATTTCAAACAGCTTCCACTCAATTAAATGTCACTAAAACAGAAAAGTTCAGCTTTCCAAATTGCTGCAAAAATGACAAAAATTGTACGCATTGAAAACCATTGAGGATGATATTCTTAAAACTAAGCACAGGCAGAACACATTAAGATACTGAAGAGGAAAAAAAAGGTACAACACCTTCTGCAGATTTAGTCATGATAATGAATCAACAAATCCCACCATACACTGACCTGAATTTGTTAAAGTGAAAGCTGTAACATTAAGAAAGGCAACTCTATAATTCTACTGAACACAGTTGCTTGCAATACTGCAACATTGTCCGTTATTATAACCACGTTGCACATAACCTTAGGCTTGAATCCAAAGATACACACATATATATGTATGGGGTATTATATTTGGAGGTAATAAGAAACACCAACAACATACCATGGTGATCTTCCAATACTGTGATCTGTGGCAGACAATCAATTATTTCTTCAGTGGCTGGAGGGTGAGCTTGTTCCACATCAATAGCTAAGGACTCTAGATGTGCCAGGGCAGCCTTTCATCAAGATAAAGAAAAAAACTATTTATAGTCTAACGTGTTTTCTTTCAACTCAAGTGAAAAGTGTTTACAGTAAAGCCTTAAAAACAGTGCTAGGTTGTATGAAAGCTGGCTGTTAGCTCAATGACTTTGGTACAGATTGAGGGTAACCTTACTGCTCAGTGAAAGGCCATTCTTCTGTTAAAGAAGCTTTTTTCTCCACATCATTACACTTCCACTACCATACCAGCAGGCTTGAAAAATGCAAAAGTCTGTATAGTGCTTAGCACAATCTGTCCATGCATGTTGTCTTCACTTCTTTTTATCAAGGGCAGAATGGCAATCATCAGTAAATAAAACACTCACCAGTCTTTCTCTCAACACCTCAAATGGTTTCTAGCCCACAGAAGATGACATTTTAATCTCTCAGATCTTAATTTATCCCTGAATGGTCTCTAGTCATGCAGATCATTTTAATGCAGCATGCTACAGTTATTTTGCTGAGGTTTGTTTTTTTTTCTTGCTGGAATTTCATTTTGCTTCAATGTATTATTATCCTTGTACTAAAACATTTTTACACTTTCCGCCATGCCTTTACAGCTGAACATTAAGAACCTGGAAGCATATCAGTGGACAGTGGTTATATAAGATAATGGAGCTGAAAATGATATACACACCTCCATTGCCTGAGCTAGTCTTTCTTCAAGAGCCATGTAAGTGAGCAGTTGTGGGTCCACATAAGAAATAGCTTGAGCTACTCCAAAACCTTCACCAAATTCATCCAGTAATCTGCAATGCAAAAATATGACAAGAGTTAATCTGTATTCCGTCTTCCAGCCTCTTGAATGGTATGTTGAAGAGCCATAATTCAAATTTCCTTAATAATAAGTAGGTTAGTTTCATATTATTTCAAGAATAAAGGAAATTGAGCATAAAAATAAATTATTCCCTCCATTGAGAAATATGAACAGCAGTCTGCTATGACAATAGTATTTTTCCATCAACATCAGCAAAATGCATTGCACAGAATAGTAAGTGGGGGGCTAGCTTTCTTTTCTAATCCATCTACCCTAGCAACCAAAATATAATAAAAAAGCTGAGATCTGAAAAGTCAGCGCTTTTAAACATTCATAATGACTTCTGATTCTTTATGACCAACATAAAAGGCTGCTCCACTGTATTGAATTTAATACGTTTCAGAGCAGCATTCCATCTTGGGAGTCACTTTGTAATTAAGGAATATTAGTGACACAAATGGTTTCATGTGTTTCAAACAGAAGATTCCATCTCGGGATTCACTTTGTTATCACGGAACATTAGTAACATAAATTGATTCCTGAGTTTCAAAGAGAAGATTACATTATCAATGTAATATTGCAAACCCTTGGTTGAAATTTATTTTTTCACAAAATTGTGGCTGTACTCAAAACTTAGTGTTTTTAAACTTTTTAAACAAACTTTTTTCATTGTCTTATTATTGTTTGTAAAAAATACTTTTCAACAGAGTGAAAAATGCAAAAGGGAAAGTTGAGAAAAAATACAGTAATTACGGTATGATTTTTCATTAATATTCAAGTAATTCAAGTCATTTGCACAGTGCACTGCCCATTAACACATTATTCATACTAATGTATTATATGCCTGTTAATAGCCTTTTAACACTCATTATTAACTAGCATGTTTTACAACAAGTAATGAAAATATTGAAGAAATCACCACAATCCCTCTCGAGGCAATTGTTTCAAATTAACATATATTTATTTCAAAATGTAGAGGCAGGAGACACAAAAGAAACATCTTACCAATTACAGACGAAGCACTTGAGAGATATAGAAACTTATTGAAAATGTCTGTTGTGTGATTTAATTTCTTTCACTTACATCATGAAATGCAAAACGAACAATGCAGTAATCATCTGATATGTGGGAACTGGCATCATTGCCGTAACCATTTAAATGAGAAATGGTAATGCTATGTTATTAGACTGAGCATTTAAATGAAGAAAGGTTAAACATTCTTAGAAAATTGACTTCAGAAGTGTTCAACAACTAATGTAAAAACAGAACTTAATGTATTTTTTTAAAGAGCTATTTTATTCAAATTAACAAGACGCCCAAAAAAGAAAGTGTGAAAAAGCAGCCTTTTACTGTTGAAATTAAACGCACAACACTATCATTAACATACTGAAGAAAAATGTATTGTAACGCTGTGTTTAACATTTATTTCCTAACAGTTACTTTTTTCCCCTAGCAAGAACTAGTGAAAGCTCTTTTAAAGCTTGTGCTACTAATGTGAATACATTTGAATACAAAGAAAACCTGAAATATACCTGAAATGGAAAAGAAAACTTAATTATATTAATTTAAGATTAGCAGTAATTAACATCTTACATTGCTGTATGTAAAGAAAAAAAAAGCAAATCTCCTCCTATAGAATAATTGTAGAGGTTTGAAAAAGGAATACAAACCTCCACTCTGCATCAAAATCTTCACTCATACTAGAATCATCTTCAAAGTTGTTGTTCCCATCAAGCATAAAAAGACCTGGGTGAACAAAGTGGCTCATCCCATCTGTCTCTTCATCACTGCTGCTGTCCGTCTCTTCTTGGTAAGGAAGCCAAGGGATTTCGCCCTCTTCTAACAGCATTGGCCCTCTACGTAAGAGCGCAGAAAAGCAGAACAACGCCCAAAAATGCTTAAAATTTCCCACATTTATCCATCTAGTTTCAAACAGCTTCATTCAATGGGGTAGAGGGAGAGCCGGAGTCTATCACATCAAGCAACAGGTAAAAGATAGGATACTACGAGATGGGATGCAAGTCCATTGCAGGTCACATTCAGTCTCAGATGCAGACACATCAGAGCCAATTTTTCCCAGATCTCAATAAACCTACCAGTATGTGTTCTGACTATGAGAGAAAACCAGAGCTCAGAGGAAACCAACATGAACATGGGAAGAACATACAAACTCATACACATAACACCCCAGGAATTGAGCCCAGGGCCCCAGTGCTGCGAGATAGCACTGCTTACTACCGTCCCACCCAATTTTATCTCCTTTTGATAAACAATAGGACAGAATTTGCTATTATCAGTAGTATTAATATTAATAGTGAAATTCTGTTTATGGGCAGTACTGTGGCTCTGTGGCTAAGGATCTGTACCTGTGGCTGGAAGGCTGCTGGTTCGTATCCCACAGCCGGCAGAGGAATCGTACTCTGTTCGGTCCCCGAGCAAGGCCTTTAACCCTAACTACTTCAGGGGTGCTGTACAAAAGGCTGACCCTGCGCTCTGACCCCAAGTTTCTCTCCCTGTCCGTGTGTCTCGAGGAGAGCAAGTTGGGGTATGCGAAAAGACAAATTCTAAAGAAATTGTATATGGCTAATTAAGTGATCTTATATTATTTTATGTAAAATTCTTACCATTTACAAGGATTAAGGAATTTGGTATTTTAATTAAACCAATACCTAAAAAACTGCTGAATTGTCTAGAACAATAAAGACTTCAAAATATCTACCATGTAACAGTAATTGTCTGGTTTGAAACTACTGCATTCACATATCTTTAACATTACAAATGTTCATTCTGTAGATTTGAGATGGCGGGATACTTACTCTGGATTAAAGCTGATATCAGGAATATCGTCCAAGCTGCTGCTGTTGCTCTGAAGGTCATGTTCTGGCTCATCCAGCCCCGGCAGGGTTTCCCAGCTTTCACCACTGGAGCACTGCTGCTTGTCCACACCTGACTCAGAGGTGCAGGTGGCTGACCATTCTCCTTCACTGCACTCTGAACTTTTAACATACCACAAGAGTACAAATTTATTTTTTTTTTTTTTAAAAACAGAGTCGAAGTTTGAATGCAGTGCCTATTCCAAAAAAGTGAAAAACAGTATTCTCTTGAACTAACACTGTATCTGTTGACATCCTTGCCAGCAATAAGACAACACTTAACCAACAGCTACACCCTTATTCCCTGGCAAGTATCGATAATATTATTCATTCCTTTTATTTATATAGCGCTTTTTATTCCAAACTGCTTTACATAAGGGGAAGACACTTCATCTCCCTGAAATACAACTCTTCACAATGTTATGGCAGCCATTATGCGTCTGTAACTCCATTATAAAACAGATAAAGAGGGGAAATTGGATACTGCTTTACCAAGTGAATTTGGTAGGCCAGTCTGTGCAAGCCCAAAATGGAATTTAGTCAGGACACCTGTATTGACACCCATACACCTTGGTTATCTTGCCTGGCTGTACTGACCAGATTAAGCCTTGTTTAGCTGATATCTGACAAGATCAGGCTACATGGTAGTAGTGCTCTCCAAGTCCAAGGAGAACACATTTTGCATTATATTCTTGCTCTGCTATACCAATGTTTAATGGAATGTGAAAAAAGACCTTTTTCAAAAATGTGCTAAATATAATAATTTGTAGAACCTTACCTTTCAGAACTAATCATCTGAAAACCACACACTTTTAGAAGTTTATTACCAACATCAAGACCCTTTTCTTTTGTGCAAATCAGTTAACTTCAAAAGCTGATGCCTTTCATGAAGGAGCATCACAAGTGCTGAATAAAGCTCCTGAGAAAAGCTATTTTTACTGGGAAGGCAGGTGCCTTATGCATATTTAAAGATGACACTGGGCACTTTATGTCAAAAGCAAAGAAGAACCTGGTAATCATTTTTTGAGAATTTGTGGGTTTTGTTGTTGTTGTTTTTGGACACTATTTTTAGAAATGTATCATTAGCAAACTACATCATATAGAGATATGGGTTTTTCCAATAACCCCAAAAAGCTTGCACAAAAGTCCATCCTATACATACTTCAAGTAATGGGCAGCACCTGCCTATGAGTAGTGTACATTTAGGTTAATGAAATAAAGTCAATCTAGTTGATAGCATTACCAATTAATGATCAACACTGGGGGGTTTTGTGATCTTAAATGCAAGTCAGATTACAAAACTACTTTAACCAAGATATACTCCTATAACATTACAAAACCAACAATCCAAATTTTATGATATCTATAATCTTTATTCAACCAATAAAGGGCTAAATCAGGCAAAACATTGGTTGAAAAAAATATTATTTTATTTAAAGCTGAAACTATTTTTTTCCATGAATGCAAAAGAAAATGGTAAGATGATGAACCGGAAAAGAACAAGTAATAGGTTTATTCCATGCTGAAAAAAAAGAAGAAAGAAGACACAACGTTTCGGCTGTGGAGACTTCTTCAGGTGTGAGAAAGGCCTAACCCAGGTGTGTGGTCTTTCTCACACATGAAGAAGGCTCCACAGCCAAAACGATGTGTTTTCTTTCTTCTTTTTTTCCAGCATGGAATAAACCTATTACTTGTTCCTTTGCAGCCTACACATGCTGATGCAGCTACCCACCCAGATGATGAACTGTCAGTTTTAAAGTAACTTAAAATCAGGACCTCAAAACCTTATTTCATCACCTAACCTGTGACAAAACCACTGATCTTTTATGTTCAACAGAGACAAGCCACAATGATTTAAATCCAAGTTACTTACAACTAAACACGGACATATAACATGCAAGTTATTTACAGCAAATCACCAGTTTCTTCTTACAGTTACCATTTGTTTAAGACACATTTTAAGACAAATAATCTGCATTCTCCCAAAACGTTTTACAAGAAAAAGCACCACTGTTTCACACTTTCTGTCATGCAAACTGGATTAGCTGGCCAAGAACTCCTGACTCTGGATAACATGAAAGCACACTTGCTGTGAGTGAGATATGCCCCTCTCCTCTAATTGGTGCTGAACCTCCATAATTGTGCTGCTTAGCTCTGATTTAAAGACATTTTCATAAAAAAATGTGTACCCCATAGTGTAATCTAAAATTGGATTAATCAAATATTAAGTAGATGCCTATATTGATTATTGCCTTTTGGGTTAGAATGAGACAACCCTAATCCCCGACACTAATGTCTCCGAGGATCACTGAGGTGGCTAGATAAGACATTGAGTATCCAGTCTGTTACCTTATTAGGTATTTATTTAGCTAGATAACAGCCTAATTTGACCGAGGATCACATACAGGGTCATTTAACAGACTAAAATTTTCAGAATGGTCCAAAGCTGACCAGTATCTACTGTAATCATGAAAAGTAATATACAAAGAAGATTTAAACAGAAAACACCATAGGAAGCTATAGCCTACAATCTATCTTTGCCACCGATTTTCTCTCTGAAGGACAAAAACTTAACGAGTATCTAAGCAACAAAGACTTGTATTAAATTAAGGAAAAGCGGCAGAGATGTAACTTCATGACTGTAGATCATGAAGTTATCATGAAAATCACTTTCAGTATGTAGGCTTTTGGAAATAACACAAAAAAAACAGTTAGGGAGTCTTCATTGGATCTCTCATCCTTTTTTAAAGTATGCATTGCGCTCGAATTCAGGGTGATTTTTTACTCGATCTTAAACATCATACATGCAATTTCTGCATGCATTTCCATTCTGTTAAAAAGAATACTTGTCTTGTTATCTCACTACTACTGCCAAAAAATAAAATCACAACCACAAAGAATCCACTCTAGGCTAACATGTGAAACTGTAGGGCTAAAATGCAAGTTAAACAGCTCTGGGATTAGGGATCAATGTCACCTGCAAACTGCTTGAGGGATTAATATGGCAAAATACTTAGTCACAGTGATAAGTGAAAAGCAGCTCATCTTGTTTCATAATTAACAGAGTTTTAGCATTTTTAATTACTTATCAGAATCAGCTTACAGTAATCTTAAGGGGTGTCACGTGACTAAAAATCATCACTAAAAACAAAGAGCTTACGCATGCATTAATTGCCTGGAAAGATTTACATTGAAGAAACTGAAATACTCAGTGCTGCATAACCAAGATCATCCAGAGCTGCAACACAGTATTGTTTTAATTTAAAATTAAACTTGTAGTACCTACATTAATTTTCTGTGTCACTGGCAATGCCAATGGTGACTTTGCTATGAGAATCAAACAAAAATACCTGTTATCATCTTTGATGAAGGACGCACACTTTTCACCGAAGTCCTCCAAATCCTCCCAAAGGTCATCATCTTCCTCATCATGTTTATTCCTGTTGTGCATCTCCATACGCTCCTGCTTTCCTTCAAAAGGCCTCAGTTCATCAGGGGCAGAGTCGGTGCAACTATTCTCATAGAGGAACTCCTTTTCTGGCTTCTCAGTTTGAGTCAAAAAGAAAGGGGGTATGGAGCTCCACGTGTTATTTGCAGCCTGTGTTTTCCTGCAAAATGCATGTTGACCATCATCTAGCTGAGAGCCTTTGCTTTTCTCCAAATGGCTGTCAGTGGACTGCTTCCTTATTTTTGGTCGGACTACCATTTCTGTCTGGGAAACCCCTTGGTCGTTATTCCAGTCAAAGCTTTTCTGAGGGGTGCACTCACTCACTAAGGAAACATTGATCTCTGAGTCCTCATGCTTTTTTTGCCTGTCATTACAGATGTTTGACAGGTTAATGCTCTCTTCTCTCAGAGAAGAATTGCTTTTCTGACTGACAAAACTGTTCTGCTGTGGCTCCTCAATGTCCTTTTCAGGACAAGAACTTTTAGGTAGAGGTTCATGGTTCTCACAGGTCTTTGTACACAGGTAAGAATGCAAACCACTGAGATAATCAAATTCTTTCTCTAGCTCACAGATCATATTGTCCAATCGTTTTTGAAGGCCAGGATGTGCTTCTATTGATGAATTTCCACTAAGTTCATCCTCCTCTCCATCACTGCTGTCTGGTTCATAAGAGTCGATATTTACAAAACTCAAACCAATTGGGCTTCTAGAGCGTTCCTTCTGGTCTTCAAATGTTGGCCAAGCACAGGCCTCTGAACTTTTCTTTGGTCCTAAATGTTTCTTAGAATTAGGGTCATCACAATCAGACTTCAGCTTTTTATACGAGAAAGAAGTGGCCTCATTGCCCTTTTGAGAAGCTACATGTTTTACTCTGGGGACATCCTTGAAAAAGTTTGTTCCACTTGCTTCTGGATGAACTGAATTAGATTCCACAGGTAATATGGCTTGTAATGTTGAGGTGATTTGTCCATTTGATGCTAAAGAAAAACAGAAACAGAATTAATGTTTTTGTCTGAATTATTTCCATTTAAATTAATTTCAAAATTTAAATGGCATATGAAAATTACTCATATCACAGATTTCTGAAATGGGTTCACATGATGTTGATTGCGGGTAATTCACTTCTTTAATAGCAGAACAGCTGATTCATTGTGGATTGATTGCCCTATTTAAAAGTTTGCACATCATGTTAATTTCAAAATATTTATGAACAATGGATGGTAATGAAAAATTGAAAATCTAAATATGTATTTGATTTAAAATAGACATGTCTAATACCCCCTTAGTCTAATGCCTCAAAATGTGTTTTTTTGTTGCATTTCCTTCAAAACATTTTTATTTTGTAGCATAAAAAGTCAATAAGGGTAAAAGGGCTCTCTAGCTCCATATGCATTTTGCTTTTCAGGTTTGAATCATTCCTCACACTATACTTTGCACTGTGGGAAGAAACACATTCTTTCACCTTTTTCTTTTGTTCATTACGCAAGTTCAATTGTATGGGGACAGTATTTTTTACCCAACGTAGTGTGAAAATAGTGTATATATGCAAGATTTAGGGGCTTAAAGTCTGTCCTTATATTTTTGTAAGACGATCTTATTAAGAATTATTTCCATAGAACTTTATCTGCAATTTAGCTCCGGCTGAAATAATCCAAGTGTGTTTCACTGTTTGAAGAGAAAGTAAGAAAGTCAAAAAACATCTATGGATACACTACCAAATGCTTAGTTGATCCCTCAACTTGAATCAAAAAGGCTGGGTGTTGGGACTATACTGGGATCCATGGGGACCAGAGTTACGAACATTTAAGGAAGGTTAATTAATCTGGAGCACATTTAACCTGAGAAGACCCATTAATCTAAGAGATGGCAAAATGAGATGTGAGAGCTGGGCAGGTTTTTAGCTTCCAAAAATTCACAAAGGAGAAAAGCAGTTTTGTCGTTTTTGCCTTCAGCCTCTTTCACACTGTGAAACTGTTTCGGGTGTGAAGTTGTCCACATACAGTATGAAGGACTATATTAAGAACAGCCATCATGTATCATCATACATTTAGAATTAGGTGGACTTTACCCCCATGGAAAAAAAGAATACAGAGCAGACAAAAAAATAGTTAATTTCTAATTAAGACTTTTTATCATTTCTCTTTCTACAAATGACAAGACATGCACATGCTTTGGTTCTCTAACACATTAGCCTGGTATTTTTTTATATTTTCTATTTACTGTGTTCACCTTGCATTGGTCCATATGCTATAAAACAGCCTAATAGGCTTCCTGAATAGCCGTTAAAATGAAAGAACATATTTTGTAACAAATGACCTTTAGTAGTTTCAAATATCTATACTGTTTTACAGCCTACACTAGACCAATGCAGAGATTACTTCATCTTTTTATATCATCTATGTACCAAACAACAAAACAAACAAAGAAAAATGTGTACCTGGAGCTTATACAAGTATTTTATGTACTAGAATACCTGGAAATCATTTTGACACCTTTCAATACATTCAGAAGCATTTGAAATGTTTTGGTTTCCAGATTCTTTCAAATTGAAACCACCCATATAAATAATATACTGTCATATGCTCAACTGCTTATAATGCCATTATATGCTAATTTTGGTTCGTATCTTTTTCAAGAAGGTGAAGTCAATTTTTTAGAAATGGAAGGCACCCAGACAATGCCTAGATCAGACTACCCTTTCAAACTCAGCAATCAAACAAGGAGGAAACTGGCTAGGGATGCCAGAGGTGACGTTGAAAGAGTTACAGTGTCTGAGATGGACGATACTGTCCATGGTTCAGAAATATCCTGGTCACTCCACAAAGGGAGTATGGAATGAAAAAAGAAAAAAACTTCTCAGATTTCACATGGAATTTATAACAGAGCTCCTAAGTGATACTTCAAATATGTGGCAAAAGGTTTTATACCGAGACAAAACAAAATTGGACATTTCTGGTCTAAAAAACAGCATTACAAAAAACATTACGTTTGATGCAATCCCAGCACAGCACTTCTCCCAGTGCACACCATCCCATTTGTCAAGCATGGCGGTGGCAGCATTATATTGTTGTTCAGCTTCTTAACAGCAGGGACTAGGAAACTTATCAAGAATGATAAACACAGTCAAGTACTGACAAATCTTTGAGGAAAACCTGATTGTAAATGTAAACCTGGGACAAAAGTTCATCTTTCGTTAGGTCAATGACCCAAAGCACAAGGTCAAAGCTACACTTAAGAATAAGAAAGTGAATGTCTCCGAGTGGCCCAATAACCCTACTGACAATCTGTGGAAAGACTTGAAAACTGTTGTCAATAAGCAATCCTCAAACAACTTGAAAAAGAATGAGCAAAGACCTGGCAAGAAGAAGGAAAAACAACTTCACCAAGCCAATGGGCAAACTTGCACATTGTAGAAACTTACCCGAAAATACCCACAACTGTAATTACTTTCAGAGGTGCTTCCACCATTGTAAGTTCACAGATCTGAATACTTACCGCACAAATGCAATCAATAGATTAATGATAGCGGTACTGATATATCTTGTCATGGTTTGTGTGAATATTTACAGTAAACTTATCATAGAAATCTTCTTACTGAGCATTCAGGTTTAATCAGTTGAAAAAAAATGTGTACATAGGGAGGGTCTGAAAACTTTTACAAGGCATTCTTTTTTTTATGAGATATCATGCATTTTGTTTCTCTAACAATTTGTGAACTGTTTGTCCACCAATAAAAGAATTATTCACATCAATAAAGATTATATTGTAAAAAAAACACTGTCCTGCATGTCCTAATTACATTAATTCCTCATTTACCTTGTGCATTCAATCATCTGAAAAAAAAAATAGCTCACTTTTGTGGATGTCACTTTTCCAAAGCAATACAGATCAGAAAACAGACTTTTCTAGTTGAAAGCTAAGGAAATACACTATACATTACGGTTGAACTGGACACACATAAAGGATTCTCCTCGTGAACACTGCTCATCTCCAGTCCCTGCCACTCCATGTCATTTTCTGGAGATGGGATGTTTTGCTTTGCCAAAGTTGGTCGGAAGCCTATATATGCATGTCTTCTGCCATATCTCCTTCCTGTGATCGTCTGATAGCCTCCAGCTGGTTTGGGCCAGGCTGGCTTGCCTGCTTCCTGACCCATTTCTGTAAAAAGTGGAGAAACTCACATGAATCTTTGGATAAAAAGTACTCAGAGGAAGACAGATGGGCAACAAACAATAATTCAGTAAGATGGTACTGAAACCATTTAACATACAGAGCATTCCTAGGTTGTAGCAATAGCTGAATAGGCTTAATATGTTTTCCTTGATTTATATAGAAAATACACAATTGAATTCAAGTTGAAATTTATATTGGCAAAATGTGTTAACCTGACATGAGAGACAGAATCATCAAGGTATAATGACTTCATAATGTGAGAAGATAAAATTTAAAATTTTATGAAATATTTTTAATTAGAAGTTTGAAAAGAGCAAAAACTATCTGTCTGCACTGCTGGCAAAGTATTATAAAGTAGAAAGATCTTCAATGTATTTTATTGCCCAAGCAAAATTATTCTTAAGGATAAATGTCTCCTCCAAGGAGACCTAATCTAGCTAAGAGAATTAGCTATGAGTCACAACAGTCGCCAGTCAGAGCCTGGCAGCAACTGAATGCAGTAACTTTCAAGTATTAGTGCAATTCTACCAAATGACAATTTTGTATAGTTAACATGCACCTTTATTATATATTGATCATCAGAAAAATGTATCACTTATGTGTGTAACTAAATTATCAGGAAAAAATATTCTTAGCAGCAGGAACAATGAGTTTATTGAACATTAATGACTCAAGACAATTCATTATGCCGATTAACATTTGTCAATAACAGGGGTCTTCAATCTAGTAGCATGAGTGACAAGCAGTGGAAGCAACATACAGTAAGCTTACATATATGGGATTACTGATGTGAATAATTTTGGCCCATACCTTTGGACAAGCATGTACTTGTGTACTGATATGTAAGCCCTAGATGTCACACAACAAAAGTGGGAATGTGGATCAAGCTGGGTGAGTAATTACCATGTAATTAAGCCGCTACATGTGCAACATGAGAAGGAACATTGTCCTTTTGAAATAATGTCAGGATGAGCAAGCAGAAATGGCACCAAGAAAGGCTTAAGGATTTGATGGAGGTAATATCATGCAGACAGGTTGCCATTAATCAATTAAGTTGAGTTCTATACTAACTATACACTCCAGCCAAGACCATCACACCCAGATGCTGATGTCTCAATCTTGGCAAGATATCAATCACTCATGGTGCTGCAAACTGCAGCCTATAATTGACATCAAGCAACAGAGCACTGTCAGACTCCAACACACAGATAGCAGAAAGGCTGCTAAGCATGACATGTTTTTCCTTTCTGTATTTTTATTTCTTGTCTTTCACCCTACTTGAGATTCAGTAGGTAAAGTCACCTCAACTTGTAAATTAACTCTTACTAATGAGCTGGGTTAGAGTTTAAACATGATGTTAACTGAATATATTATTGCCAGTAATGAATAATCATTAAATAAAAATGATACCAAAACTATTTAAGCAATACCCACAGTCTGTAAACTTTATTATTAAAAAAAACATTCATGCATAAAGAAACTGGTGTTTTTGATCCTCAGTATAATTCATACTTACCACTCTTACCATACATACCACTCTATGAGCACAAGAAAGAAGTCAATACCACTGTTGTAATAAAGTTGCATAACAAATGTAACTATTACTTAAAAACATAAAAACTATAAAACAATATAATTATAATATGGTATGCCTTAGTGACAACTTATTTAATTAACCTGGAGGTTTGAGACTGCTCATTTATTGCTTTGTTTCTCTCACAACACTTTGTATGAAGTACAGTATTTTCAGACACCCAGTCTTACATTAGAGAACCATTCCTAAAATGCTACTAGTTCTACCAGAATGAAGAGTAATTTAGACACATCCTGCTTGCAAACACTGCCATGTGAAATTAAATGTCTCAGAAAACTAATCTATGTAAGCAAGATTTTAAACAAGTTCTGCAGCCTCAGTTATTTATTTAGAATCAATGCAGAGTGCAACAAGATCATTTATTGGTCTCACATATATAAAACATTTTAAAAAAAGAAATAAGCCAAGGGATCCCCAGCCATGTCAATAAAATTGTGTATACAAATTAGACAGCTTTCAAAAACTAGCCCAATATTCAATTTTTCTGGCATTAAAGATTTGATGTTTATTAATATATACTGGTACATACATGCAGTCAATTGCATTTTCAATGAAGATGACGTACAAATACCTGAATACTCTTAAAACCTCAATCACAGAACATTATTTCTATTTAGGGGCTTAAAAATAGTTTTTTTTTCCATCTATTTAGTGGTAATCACTTATGAAACTAAGTGGAGGGAACATATAAGGGTTGCGATAGGATGTTTTGCCTTAAATCCGGATAACAAAACAATCCAGTTTGACTTTAATACCGTGTGACTTACTGATTTGGAGGTATATGATAACTCTAATTACCAAACAATACTTACTGATTCCATCGCTACCGCTTAACTCGGCACGCTTAAAACTGAAAGGTGAAATCTTGTTAAACATTGAAACACTACAACTATCCTCCACTGTTTATCTCTGTGTGCATACAAATATGGTAAACATTAGGCCTTGTGTCTTATTCTTGCGCTCTATCCTTTTTTCTATGAAGCAGAGCTAACTGAAATCACCGGTGAACCTTTATGACACATAATGCTAGGTGTTATTGAAATAGTTTATTTGATTAATGCATTAATCCAACTAAACTTCCTTTTAATTCCACAGAAAACAAACCTTACCTGCCTTCCAGAGCTATTACATCAACTAAAGCCGCAACCAACTCCGCCCACCAACGACAGCAGCACAGGACGGCGTCATCTAATCTTTTTGTCCAGTCAGTGCTGGGAGGAGTGTGCTTACAGCCAACACGTATCCAATCAGTCAGAGACGAGGATCTGGATTTCCCAGACCCAGTGGAGATGACGGGGTATGAGGGGGACCTGTCTATTATGAAAGTGGTACTCAGTTTTGTTTAAAGAGACGTGGGGAAAAAAAGTTGTACGAATAGTGAGCTTAGTTTTAGGTTTTGTAAGGCAATCATCCGCATAAAATTCAGCTGTTTAGCTGAATTTGTTTGCTTTGGTCTACAAAGTAGCAATAACGAACGAATACTGACATTTTTCTAAAGTTTAAGCACCCCAGTTTTGGACTAATCAACTCTTCATAAAACCTCCATGAGACAAATGATTGGTTTATGTCCTTTAATCAACTGGTAAGGACTTAACTAAATATGAAAGTTTAATAACAGGCATCTAGGTTTCTTTTTTATTTTGAAAATGAAACCCTCTTTTCAACAACTTCTTAAACTACAGGACGTATGCTGAATATTTCGCAAAACTGATGTGTGTTCAATTCTTGCAAAAATATTTTATATGTGGGTATACTTAAAAACAAATTTTGTTTAGTTTTCTGTGCTTTGAAGTAATGTTGTGAAGGCAAAAATGTTAAGAATTTTTAATCTACCTCTGAATTTCTACAAACTACACTTATGTTGACGATTCTGACTACCCCTTATTGCACAATCTTGCACTTGGATTTAGAGCAACTTATATAGTACAAAAACAAAAACAAAGAGTGCATACAGCAGTATTAGACATGGTATTCTCTTAACAGTGCTCCCTGGTGGCCAAAAGGAAACACGTGTTTTTTACTTCAGCAGTACGTCACTCCAGATAAACATCACTTTAACTGGATCAAATTCACAAAGTAACTGTATCAGTTTCACAAAGATATTTGCAGATGCATGAATGTTTTATTGAACAAACATGACATAAATTCATTGCTGATTAGCATTTGTCTTCAAGAGGGAGTCTACCGTGAAAGTTACAGGCTGTTGACACTAGAGGAAGAACTACAAGGTATGTATCTGGAGTACGTACTTTGTACCAGGTGGCAGCTATTTTCTTGTGGGATTCTGTCCAATTCCTCTCATACAGCCTGCACAAGCATGTGCCTGTTCACTAGTTTCTAAGCCCTAGATGCCACAAATTGTCCCAGCTCATTCCCAAACAATTCAGCGGGGTTGCTCCTGGAGTAGATCATACATTGTTTTGCCCTACAGTTCTTCCTTTACTTCTTCCACCCACACACTAAAAACTCCCTTCCTTCCTCACAGATCCTCAGATGTTGTCAGTTATGCAGTGGTGATACCGACTTTCATAAACAAACACTTATAATGCTCTTTTTCTTCATTGAGTGAAAATACCCTACAAACAGCTTCGGCAAGGCCCTCAACCCAAGTTACAAATAGCCCTCTCAACATTAACCCAACACACAACATTAACTGCAAACCCAGAATTCCACTGGTGCATCCTTTCCACCCCATCAAACTGTCTATTCCCATGGTCATCAAAGATAACCTCTATTTTACAGGATGCAACAATTTTCCCAGACCACCCTGTGTTATCCACATGTTATCCACCACCTAAGCTACACAACTCTCATTTTCGTAGTTCCTTTAACAACCCACAACCTCATCCACACCAAACACCATTTTCTATAACAGAAGTCACTGTATCACCTGCAAATATGTATCTCATGCGATGCATATACTATATGGCCCCTCGAGTTATTTCATAATCAGTTAAAGAATATCTTTTGTATTTAGTAATTTAATTTACTGCATCTCTTGCAGAAAATGCTCTTTGGCTAAGGATCTGTGCCTATGGCTGGAAGGTTGCCGGTTTGTATCCCGTGGCCGGGTGAGGAATTCTACTCCATTGGGCCCCTGAACAAGGCCCTTAAGCCCAACTGATCCAGGGGTGCTGTATAAATGGCTGACCCTGTGCTCTGACCCCAAGCTTCTCTCCCTGTCTGTGTGCCTGTGTGTCTCATGTTGAGAAAGTTGGGGTATGCAAAAAGACAAATTCGTAATACAATAAATTGTATATGGCCAGGATCTTATTTTATCTAAATGCCCTGCCGTTTGCATTGGTGAGATTGGAGGAAGACTAGCTGACTTTTTCAGGGAACATTTCAGCACAGTGAGGATCAAAAATCTGTCTAAATTGATATTTCCCCCTTTTCACATAGTTTCACAGACCTTTCTGTCTGCATCATTTTACAGGGATTCCAGGACTCCAATTCCAGAAACACAACAGAAGCCAAGTTTATTCTTAAGCTGGATCAGACCTTCCAACGTCTCTCAACAACAGATTAATTTCCTTTTTAAGCCTCTTTATTTACAGATTTCAGCTTTTCACACCTCTCCTCCAGACCCCCTTAACTGTAGATATCATCACTGTGTGGCCTTTTTCACCTGTGCCATCTTCCTCTCACACCTGAAGGAGGCCCAATAGCTGAAATGTTGTTTTTTCTTTCTGTTTTCAACATGGAATTAACCTTTACTTGTTCCTTTTGCAGCTAAGCACACTGACACGCTCCTCACTCAAACATTTGATTGAATGTTGAGGGAAGAAAGAAAGAGAAATCTTAGGACTGGATCATCAGCCACTTGATCATCAGTCACTACATGATTTCCATAGTGAGTAGACACTCCTGCCCCGATCATCACATTTGTATATCCCCATTAGTTAGTCTGTTGCATGCAAATATTACTGTATATTTCTGCATGACTGCACCACACTTGTTTATGTCCATCATGGAGGTCTGTGCAAAACCTTTATTCATCACTGAAAAGGACTTGAATCCGTTACTATTGGTTCCATTCTGTGTGTTTTTAATTGATTTTCACCAGGCTTAACATTCAACAGGTTACGTCACTTCATCGCCTGTGCCCAATCAACTCTCTCACTAATGAGGTGAGTATTCATAAAATATTCAAAATCACCCATGTGTATCATAGTCATGAAAAATCAATAAATCAAAATGCTGCCAAACACATTTAATCTTCATCCTAGGGTTAATCCCGTATCGGCAGGGGCCGCTTGTCGGCACACTCATCTCCATTTGGCGTGGTCATAGGTGTATTCCAGGGCGACATTCACTTTCCGCATGTCTTCAGTGATCTGATCCATCTACCGCTTCTTGGGCTGCCCTTGTGGCCGTCGACCCTGTGGGCTCAGTCGAATCGCTGTCTGTGCCACCATGTGCTCGCCACTTCTCATCACATGTCCATACCATTGCAGTCTTCCTTCTCATATCTTCTCCGTTATTGGTGCCACCTTCATGTGTCAACGGACATCGTCATTGAGGACGTGGTCAAATCTTGTTAGGCCGAGACACCACCGGATCATCCTCATTTCCATGACATGGAGGGCCTGCTCATGCCTGGAAGTTGCTGGCCAGCATTCCGATCCATACAGGGCGACAGGACGGACAATGGTCTTGTAAACTTTGACCTTGAGTTGGATTGGCATCCAGCAATTGCATAGAACGCCGGTGACCTGGCACCACTACATCCACGCCGCGTTCACTCTGGCCATGGGGTCTGAGAGGGTGTCGCAATTGCTGCTGATGATGGAGCCAAGGTATTTAAACTGCATCACTTTCTTGAGATCTTCACTACTGATGCTGATAGTTCCATCCGTTTGAGGGCCGCACTCCATGTGCTCGGTCTTCTTGGTGTTCAGCCGCATTCCATGCTCGTCCATTCGGATCTTCTATCTCTGTATTTGGTGTTGGAGCTCTTGGCATTCTTCATCCACCAAGAAGACATCGTCGGCGTAGAGCAGCGACCACGGGTGAGGTGCCTGGAGGTCGGCCATCGCCGTGTCTATGCAGAGCACAAAGAGCAGGGGCGAAAGGGCCGATCCTTGGTGAACGCCGACGTTGATGGCGAAAGGCGGTGAAGTGCCCACAGGGCCTCGGACGACGCTGGTGACGTTGCGGTAAAGAAGCTGGACCCATTGGATGTAGGCCTCTTGGACGTTGTGTAATTGTAAGGCATGGCATTTGAGCTCATGTGGGATCTGATCAAACTGTTAGGGATTCGGTAAGAGAAACCGAAACCAGTGAATGAACCCACTTGCAGGAGCTGATAAAGCCTGGCCGCGATCCAAAGAAAGCCGTAGTTGAGGAAACAAGCCGAGAGTTCAGGGGAAGCCAGAGATCCAAACAGGGAACGAGTTACCGAAGCCAAACCATGATCCGAAACCGTAGACAATAGAGCAATCCGAGAGTCCAGGAGAAGCCAGAGATCCAAAACAGAGCGTGAGTACTGAAGCCAAGCCATGATCCGAAAAACCGTCATCAAAGGGGGAAAAACCGAAATCTGAAAACCAAGAATAACACAAAGCAGAAGAAGGAGTAGCGCAACTAGGAAGCTCGAAAGGAAAACCAATACTGAGCGATGAGGTAGGAAAAGACAGGTGTTTAAGTACAGGATGAGACGGGGGTGTGGTGGTGAATAAGAAAACTGATAGGTAGACTGATGAAGTAAGGCTACGCCTTCTTCTGCCTCTTCCGTTGCCGGGAGGCAGGGATCGTAATACGAACGCTTTCTCCAAATCCACGAACGCCATGTGGACGGACTTGTTCTTCTCCCGGTGCTTCTCCAAGAGCAACCGGGCAGTGTGGATGGCGTCTGTCATCCCACATCCTTTGACAAAACCACATTGGTTCAATGTGACACTGACTGTCTTGCGGAGTCTGGCGTCGAGGACCTGCTCAAAGATCTTCATCACATGGCACATTTAATGAATATCCAAAATCCAGATATTTTATTTTTTCTAAAAACATAATGCAAAGTTTTCTTTGATATTCAGCATACAATTGGACGTCCATCCTCAATTTTAATTACATATATTGCTTGCTTTGGTACATTTCAACACACCAAATTCCTTAGAATTGCCTCATTGTATGTGTTTACTTTCTGTAAAGAACATGTTGCATAGGACATACAAGGCCATATTGTGTGAGTTCAAGTGGAGTTTATCCAGGGATCCAGTTCAACACTAATACATTTATGAACCGTGGGATCATTACTGATCAAGTACTCAGGACTTAAGTTAACATGTCATTGGAAGGATTGTATCTTGTAACCTATGGATGCCTATTAATGCCACTGAGAAAAGAAATATGATTACCTAATTGAGAAATAACATTTTTTTTCATGATAATAATTGCATAATGAGAAGATGCTGGTAACATATCACCTCCAACAGGACTCTCCTATTATAAATGCATCACTAAATAAATGTTGACTGTGGCAGCAGGTTCTAGGGGACTGAAGTTCTTGAAGTCAAGTGTGTCTTATTTTTTGTCCTCATCCAAACTGAAAGTTGTTCTTGGTGAAGAACCTTCTTCAAGAGAGAACCATCTTAATTTAGAACAATGAAAGCATAATATCACACTGTCTTTTCTGGAATGTAATTAGTATAAAGGAAAATGTGTTCGACATCAAGTATAACTCTTGGCAATTGAGCATTCCTAGATTAAATGCATGTACCTGACTAGTACTTAGCTAGTCTATCTTAGTGACTAGCAACTAGCAGAGACTCTAGTGAACATCGTGAAATATCATGATATTAGAATCCCACATCTCTGGCAGTCCTAGCAGGAAACTATCCCATGACCTCTTTCCATGAATTCAGTTCCATGAATTTAGCATTTAAGATTTTATTTCTTTCATGTTCATTTTATAAATACTTTAATTGAATTAGGCTGGCCACTCTGTAAAGAGATTTTATGTAATATTGCTTCAGAAAGGTTATTGTTCCGTGAGAACAGTCTGGGCTACCTATTGTAGAGATATAAATGTGTCTCAAGAAAATAATATTGAGACTAATATTAACTTTCTTTTGAAGACATCATTGGAGTCTGTTAATTTAAATTCCTTGTATTGGTGCATGCATTTTCACCGAAATAAGTTTTGTCTTGAAAAATGCAAAAATAAAATAGTGTTATTGCATAATGTCATGGTCTTCTGTCCTTTAGAAAAATCTTGCAAACTAAAATCTGATTTGACTGTGCATCTTTTTTGAAGGCTTTGAATCATTATCTTAATGCAACGTTGGCAGGTCTAATTTGTAAATGCTTTTCCCATTTCTGTTTAAGGTGTCAGTTTCAGCAGAGATAAAAATGTGTTCCTCAGCTGAATCTCAAGCACTCTTTGAGTAATGAAAAGCAATCTCCTGGATTGTTGGCCTACGATTGTTTGTGCCAGATGTTTCAATCTGTTTGACCTTTACAGCACTTTACCCAGCTACTTACTCACCCTCTGTCTTTTCACTTATGTTTTAGACACACCCTGTATTGGATTAGAGGTTACAACATGCCCAGGAGGTTTTCAACCTTGAATTTATATTTTATGCCAATGTTCACCATATGTGGTTATGGACAAAGAGAAATGACTTAGGTTTCTACATAGTCTCCTAGCTGTACTCTTGACAAATGTTTACTAATATTGTGACATATGATTTAATGAGGAAATTTTCGTTGCATATTTTGTGTCACTGTTGACATTGAAACTTTGTAATTTGTATTCACTAGAATATACTACTTGTTGCTCAACACTAATTACTAGGCATCTATGTTAATTCACATCCCTAGGCAAAAAGGTGTAAATAGGTAGATAGAGTTTCAACAGAATTTGCATTGTCAATGAATGCTTTAAAAAAAACTTGTAGTGAGCACAGAGTATTTTTTACAGAGCACAGAACACCAAGTTGCAGTCTAAGTCTAATGCTTAATTGTGTCCTTGCAATGGGACCTTTGTCAGACCTTAAGGGGGATGAAATCCTAGAACATCTGCAGTCAGGCTTTCAATTTTGCATGTTGAAAGACTTTTCAGACTGTTTAAAATCTCTGAAGATGCTGGCAAGTGATTGAGACCAGCTGTAACCTTCCACAAAATGAGAAGTCAAATTATTACTCCTGCTTTAAAAGTAAACTACAGCTGACAGATTATCAAAGATTATCAGAGTAATGGATCTTTCAATCAGTTCCAAAATTCTCTTCTAACTGAAGAACCATTCCTTAGACATCATAAGATTTGTGTCTGCAATGTTCTTAGCAATCAATGGGAATGCCGAGATCAAATTAGAAAGTACATCCAAGATATGAAATCCAATATGAATTGCTAATGCAACATGGTCATTGCTGCAAATTGTGGACATATCCAATAGTTTAGGATGTCACTGAGATTCAGTCACATATCGCCTTCTGTAGACGTTCTAATACATTCCCAAGAATTTACTAAATATGTACTTTACCGCACAGAGTGTGATGTTCAGAGGCAATTAAGAGCAAGTACATCATATCTTAAGTTAAATCAGATTTTTTTCTCAAATTCATTTACATTTAGTTTAGTGGTGGATTTAGAGTCAATATTATATTGGGAGCTATCTACTTTAGAAGAACTGAGGGATAGTGTATCTTTAAAAAAGGTCTTCTAGCAAAACACCTTTGTTACCCTCCCATTATTATACAGTAAGCACAACACAGAATTGTAGGGTAATTCTTATTTTAGCTCCAAGAGTCACTGTGTGGTCACTGTGTGGTATGGCAACACTTCTGTCCAGGACAAGTAGCAGCTAGAGATTCCACCTTCCCTCTGTGGACTCATTCTACCTCTCTAGACTAAAATGCATCCTTGCTGACTCCTCCCACCCTGCCCAACCTCTCTTTACTTTCCTCCTCCTCTCTGGTAATTGGCTTAGGTATACAAAGACAAGAACTACCAGGTTTCATATCAGCACTGGAGGTAAACTCTGCACTTTAATATTGACATGTTTGCATGGCTCATTGAAATTCTATCAGGCCCCACTGTTATTTATCTTATTTAAGATAAGATCACTTTATTGGCCATATACAATTTCTTGTATTAGGAATTTGTCATTTCACATACCACAACTTGCTCTCCATGACAGACAGGGAGAGAAGCTTGGGGTCAGAGTGCAGGATCAGCCATTTATATGGCGCACCTGGAGCAGATGGGCTTAAGGGCCTTGTTCAAGGGCCCAACGGAGTAGAATTCCTAAGCTGGCTGTGGGATACAAACCGGCAACCTTCCAGCCACAGGTGCAGATCCTTAGCCACAGAGCCAGTGCACCGACCACTGGTTTGGTTTGTGTTTAGGATGGTTTGCAGATATATTTGGTGGATGCTGTCTATGATTGGCTTCAAGTTATATTGTATTGTTATAAGTTTAATTTTATGAGCTCACAAAACCAAATTCCGTGCAACTGATTTTTACGGCAATAAAGTATTATGTTGGAAAGACTGAATTTAAGATTTGATTGCAACCATCCACTCTCAGTCAGGTTCACCAACTGAACATTGCAGTGAATGTTTGTCAAATAAGGGGCACCAGACCTCCTGGGAGAATTTCAGGTGTTCCTAGCCCAACTGAGACATATAACCCCTCCAGTATGTGAAACTTGACATCTCTTTCCAGTCATAGAGCTTCAACAGAAGCATCACAGAGTACATGCTTACCAGATTTCCATGCCACCACAGCTGGATCCACTTGACAAGAATTAATAGAGTCTCCATGCTTCATCTTGATTACTATTAATAGAGGCTCTATGCTAAGGCTTTCCCCTGATTGCAGAGCCTCTCACCCTCCACAAAGACTATGCCCAAAAACAACAAAGCCTCATTCCTGATGCTTGTATTCTGCAGTAATGTCTTTTCATTCTTAGTTCAAAACCATAAATTATGATGGGAACATTGATTACCCTGGAGCACTTCAACTATAACAGTGCCTGCGGTACTGCGATGTCACACCAATTCACTGTGTTATTGTAACTGAGGTGTTCTTTCCAGACCCAATGCAGACGACTCAATCCGGGGTAGAGTGAGGAAAACAGGGGGGGAAAAAGCATGCGGGAGTTGGGAATGAAAACAGGGGGCGTGTCCA